AGGTACCATAAAGTTAAAGGCAGAATTATATAACCAATTTCCTGAGGTATTTTTGAGCGGGTTGGGACGATGGAACAAATTTGTGGCCAGTATCAAATTAAAAAGAAAACGTCCAACCAGTTTTTTTTAAAGAAGCGAAACGTACCGTTCACTATAGAAAAAATCGACAAAGAATTGGAGAGACTTGAACAAACTAGGATTCTTTTAAAAATAGAGTTTAGTGAGTGGGCGGCGCCGGTGGTTTATGTATGTTATGATCTGGTTCCTTGTACCACGGTGATAGTGCAAGGTAGAACCAATAAAGAACTAGAATACAGATATGGAATAACTCAGATATATTACAAACAGGAATATATACAGAGAAGTAGAAAGGGTTAGTACGAACAATCAGGTTTAGTAGTATGCGCAGATTTTTCAAATGGACTTAATAAGGCTATAAAAGACCATCATTACCCACTACCAAGACCAGAGGAGATATTTACAAAGCTCAATGGGGGTAAGATATTTTCAAAAATAGATCTAAGTGAGGCTTATCTACAAATCTTAGTACAAGAAGAGAGTATGAAAATCCTTTGCATTAATACGCACAAAGGGTTGTACAAATTCAACAGACTACCATTTGGAGTAAAAGTTGCACTAGCAATTTTTCAGCAAACGATGGACACAATGCTCATGGGCCAAAATTTTGCGACCGCTTATCTGGATGACATCCGAATTAAGATCGACAATGTTGAAGAGCACATTATGGTCCGATTCCTTGTACCACGGTGATAGTCCAAGGTAGAACCAATAAAGAAGAACTCAAAGGCGGATATGGAATAACACAGATATATTACAAACAGGAATATATACAGAGAAGTAGAAAGGTTAGTACGAACAATCAGGTTTAGTAGTAATTGTTTGAACGCGACTCTGTTTCGACTGCATCTGACTCCACTGGCTGACTTGCTCACTCTGACTGACTGACAGACTCCTGACAGACTTCACTCCAGACTTCAGACTGAACTCCCTGCTTCCTCTTGAGGCGCAGTATTTATTACGTATGGAATAGTGCATTATGTTATTATGGGTAAGGTCCCATAACACACACATCACACATCACACATAAAGGAAGTTTTCAGAAGACTTCAGGACTTTGGGTTCAAAATAAAAGGAGAAAAGTGTGATTTTTTTCTTAAATGAAATTAAATACTTAGGTCAGATAATAAATGAAAATGGCAGGAAACCGGACCCAGAGAGGGCATCGGCAATTAAAAATATGCCTGAGCCAAAAAATGTTGCAGAACTACAAAGTTTCCTGGGTTTAGCTAACTACTATGTCGAATTTATTGATAATATGCATAAACTAGGGCTCCACTAAATGAGTTACTAAAAAAGGAGCATAATTGGAATTGGACAGAGGACTGTAAAAAAGCATTGAAGGAAATAATACAAAAATTAACTTCGAAGTTAGCATTGACACATTTTAATCCCGAATTCGAAATCATTATTGCAAGTGACGCGAGCTCATATGGGGTAGGTGCGTGTATTCTACACAAAATGCAGAACGGTACAAACAAACCCGTTGCACATGCATCTAGATCATTATTACCGGCGGAGAGAAACTATTCACAGATCGAAAAGGAGGCATTGGGCCTAATTTTGCAGTAACTCGTTTTCACAGATATATTTATGGGAGAGAGTTCACGCTCCAAACGGGCCACAAACCACTTCTTACAATTTTGGTTCAAAAAAGGTCTACCAGTCTATACAGCAAACAAACTTTTAAGATGGGGAACTGTGTTACTAAACTACAATTTCAAACTTGAGTTCTTACCATCAAAGAAAAATAGGACACGCTGATGAACTATCGTGATTAATACCTGCGAAAGACAAACCGTTAGAAGATTCGGTAATTGCGGCATTACAAGCTGAAGATGAAATCAGTAAGGTATTATGCAATACAATAAAGGAACTATCTGGAATGCTGCTAGAGATAAGGCGAGAAGCATAAAGACACGATTTTATTCAGAATACCAAGAAAAAAATAGAAGAGAAGGTGAGGAATTTAGCAGACAGTTTCTCAGTCTGTGACAACATATTATTGTATAACGAGAGAGTAGTAATACCGAAGTCGCTGTGCAGACGGATCTTGAAAGATTTTCACTTAGGACATCCTGAAAAAAACGGATGAAATCACTTATGAGAAGTTTTATCTACTAGCCGAACATGGACGATGATATTACGCAAATGGTGGAAAGTTGCAAAGGTTGTGCTGCTGCGGCGAAAGTATCACCATCTATACAAAAGCCATGGCCTAAAGTTGACAGACTGTGGTCCAGAATCCACGTGGATTATGCAGGACCCATTGAAGGTTACTACCATTTAATAACAGTAGATAGTTTCAGTAAATGGCCAGAGGTTGCCAGATTTAAACACCCGACGACTGAAAATATCATAAACTGTTTACACAAACTATTTGCGAGATTTGGCGTCGCGGATTGTTTGGTAAGTGATAACGGCACACAATTTACCTCCAGTGACTTCAAAGAATTTTGTGAGACATATCAAGTAAAGCATGTCAAGATAGCTCCGTACCACCCGAGGTTGAACTGACAAGCTGAAAGATTCGTTGACACACTAAAAAGAGCGTTGAAAAAAGGCGAGGATGTACCAACGATAAAAGCGATACAACAGTTCCTCAAAGTGTACAGAATAACACCTAATATGAACAAGCCATCGGGTCTTTCACCAACGGAATTGATGTTTGCTCAGAGAATAAGCTCTGTGTTTGACAAATTATTGACAAACAAGAACAAAAACCAGTATACACCTATTGTGCCCAAGAGATCATTTAAACCAGGAGAACGGGTGTACTTTAGGATGTTTAGAAACAATATGGCTTACTGGGAGCCTGGCACAATAATTAAAAGATTAGGAAATGTGCTGTACACAGTACAAGGCGAGAAGTTTTCACATAGAAGATATTGACCAATTACAAAAAAGATGGGCTGAGGAGCGAAGCTCATCACCCGCAGAAAACGACGACAATGGATGCAATCTTTGAAGCGTTTGAGATCCAAAGACCACAGGAAGACACAAAAATGGGAAGGTCAAACAGGAAGAGAAAATTTACCGAACCTCTGATTATCAACCATAAGAGACAAAAATACTAACTCCCACCAAAAGGGATCTAAGGAGGGGGGCTTATGTGGTCCACACCTTTTTTATACAAGTGGACTCGCCTAGTGTGTACTTATACTGCTGCCAGTGAATTCCCAGGAGTGACAGTGATACGGTGACAGAGTGAGACAGTGAGAGTGCGAGATATGCATATTTCATTCCTGCATTTGTCATTCATTTGAGACAGGATTTCATCCTGGAATCCACAACACATTCTTTGTGGGAACTATTTGGGAATAAACGATACTTCAAAAGATTTTATATATGTTAAGTGCATAAAAAGAGTGTGTGTATAAAGGACACAATGCAGTTCATATATATATCAGACAATGATAAAAAGCAAAGATATTGTTAATAAAAGAAAAGATATTCTGCAGAGATTCTGTCCATAAGCTATAAATCTTACTGTATGACAATCTTTGAGAGACATTTTGAGTGAACTTTTTGTACAAAACTATAATTCTCAAGATTTCATATATGTTAAGTGCATAAAAAGAGTGTGTGTACAAAGGACACAATGCAGTTTAAATATATCAGACAATGATAATGACAATCTTTGAGAGAACACTTCGAGTGAACTTTTGGTAATGTTACCAGACGTTCTTATCAATATTTATCAGAATCTTTGGAAATAAATGAAAAGAATCAAAGATATAAACAAATAATACACATTTATGTGACTTTGATTGTAGTCAGTCTTCGATAATTTTTGGTAGTGAATGTTAATTTATAAGTCAGATCTTGGTAACATCAGGAGAAAATTTTGGGTCAGTAGTTGACAGTGTAGTAGTCATATCTTCATAGTAATTGTCATCTTGGAAATAGTTGTGGCATCAAGCTACTGTGTTTTCTTGGCTCTCAGAAGGGTGGAAAATGTCTTGAGCAGATGACCGCTTAACTTCTTCACATGATACACTTGGATAGTTTCTCTGGTGTTCCCTTCTCTTCTTCTGTTTTTCAACTATCTATTTATATCCTTTTTGAACAGGATCCTAAACTACTGGCACAAAGATTGGTTTCAGCTAACATCAAAAGTTTCTTTGTGTTAAATTCTTTGACTAGACAAAATTCTTTTTTATTTTCTGGAATTTCTTACTTTTTCAATTTGTGTTTTATAGCAGAAGTTATGTGTGGGGTCTCTCTTATTTTGATAAATTTTTAGTCACAATGGCTGGACCCATGGACTAGCAAGCTTCCAACATTTTGCAGCCATTCTTAGTTTTTTCTTCATTTTTAATTAAGGGTCATCTTCTTGTTAGTTGAGAGAGAAGTATAGAGACAGAAGTCTAGAGAGGGAGATAGAGAGAAAGCAATATGGATTTTAAAGAAAAGCAAATGCCTTATTTTAATTTTAATTCTTTTTTATTTTCATATTTTATTTTAAATTTGTGTCCACTTTGAAACAAATTTGGAAACAAATTTCTGAAGCTAAAATATTGATCCACTTCTTCTCATCCATTTATCAGAAAAAAATATTCCTTGTATTCAAGATGCTTCAAGAGGCTGAAAGTTTAGATTCTTCTAAGGAAACGCTTATTTTTTTTTTAATAAATTCACTTTCATTTGCATTATAGAAAAATTGCTCTCTGAATTTCTGGGATGGGGAGTTATCATTATTCACCCTATTTATATTGAGACTATAGTCTTCATACAATGAGGACAATAGTCTGAATATAAACAGTGTAAATAAATTGAAAATTTCTTAGTAAAAATCTAATCTGTAAAAGGAGCTATATAGAAACTTTGTATAACTATTCTTTTTATTTATTTTATCATGACATATAAATAATGTAAATTGCCTCCTATATTTTAAGATTAAATTATTATCTTTATTTTAGTATTCTGTGAGAGAAAAAAGATTTGTACATCATTTTCAATGCACCATATGGCCAGATCATGGTATCCTAGAGGAACCAGCATCTTTCATTGAATTCCGAAATAAAGTACAATTTTCACCATCTTCAAAACCACCTTTTGTAGTCCACTGCAGGTATTTCTTGACTTACATTACATTCAATAAGCAATGTTTATTATATATTTTTATGCTTATAACTGATAAGAGTATAGCTCTGTTGGAGTGTTGATCAAAATATAAATGACTTCATAAGTTTTTAGGGACAATTTGTTTATTTTGAAAATACAGCTGATTAAAGAGTCCAATTTTATTTTAATATTCAAGCCTTTTAACATTTTGCTAGTATAATAATTAATAAATGGAAATTTTTTTCAGATTGTAAAAGCAATCCAGTCCCTAATACACAGATTAGAAAAAATGACAAAACCTTTGACATATTAAAATTATTAACAAAATAAATTTAATCATTTTAACAATTCATATATTTTCTTAATAAAATCCATCTGGAAATTCAATGATAGACATTAAATTATCAGACTTTCAGAACAAACAATAAATTGACAATAATGGAATGCCATAGAAGGTCTATCATTGTTTCAAGACTATAACTTAACTTTAATTTGAAACATCCCTTTTATTAATGTAAACATGCCTTGCAAGAAAAAAGTTTCATTTTTTTAGAATGGAATTTAGAATTAAACTGATATCACACTAAAGGCCTTTCCATTCAATAAATACTAGCCCCAGTGTGACACTAATTTTAGTATTTACTATATTATAATTTTCAAAGATGAAGGTCATTAAAAAAGCTAAAAAAAAACAAACAGCAATTATCTGCTTAGGGAGATTAATATTTTTTTGTATTTGGATCATTTTTTTTTCTTTCAGTGCTGGTGATGGAAGAACAGGGACTTATATTGCATTAGATATTCTTTTGGAACAATTATGGAAGAAACCAACCATTGATATTTTTTCATGTGTCAATCAACTTTGTCAGCAAAGGGCATTCATGGTACAAAACAAAGTATGTCAGAAGATAGAAATTTTTTTGAATTTTTTTCTTCTGAACTTTTCATTCATGTTAATCTTGTAAATTTATGAAACTCTTTATTGATCAATATAGAATAATGGTTTCTTTTTTCTACATCTTTCATTATAAAACATTTCTTCAATTTAAATGTTAATTTAGTTGAATTATTTCTAATCAAAATTTATTCTAACTTCTAGATAAATGTCAGTATTTCTTTGTGATAAATTTTAAAATTATAGCATTTCATCATGATATACTTATGAAAAGCTTATACCATAAACTTTTATAAGGTTATTAATGTATTTTACACCTAATATTAATCTTACTAAAAACTCCTGAACACTAAAAGTGCATTACTCTTGTTAATTTTATATGCTACATATTTGCATTATATTCCATTTTGAAACAAAATTCTTTTAGGTATGAACATGTGTGTGACTTGGAATCATATAAATTTGCTGTTGTTGTTGCTGATGATGATGTTAGAAATACCAATTATTATTATTATTATTGTTGTAATTGACATCCTTGGTATCTAGTATTCATTACTTTGAAATGGAGGACAACTATTGTTGTCAAAGATTCAACATTCATTTCTTCAATCAATGTCATTTAATTATCTTCCAATCTCTTGATAAGTTTCCCTCATGCTGTAGAATTATGAACATTTTTTTTTAATTTTTATAGATTTTTCTATTAACTCTTTCACTTTTAACCACTGAATCATAAGAAACTCTATATTTAATGTGGTTGCTTTTTAAAGTTAGACATACTAAACTTGATAAATCTTAAAATCCAATAATATTTTATGTTTTTTTATTTTCTTGAACAGTTTCTATTTTCTATACATATCATTTGTTTATCTGTTTGATTCTTATTTATAGATTCAGTATCAATTTATCCATGATGTTTTAGCTGAAGAGATTTTGACTGGCTTCTCAGAGATTTTTGTTACTTCCATTCCTGAGGAGTTTAAGAAACTGAAAACAAGCAAAGCAAATGGGGAAAAAGCAATGCTTAAAAAGCAATATGAGGTAAATTATGACATTTCTATAAAAGAGGATTTTCCAAACTAAATTGAAAGAAGACGTTAATATTTCAAACAAAAATTGTCTTTACCTTTGTTGTATAGGAGTGAAGTGTCATAGTTTGAACATAAATCACCAGTGAACAAATTCAGACAATTCCATTATTTAATTAAGTAGATAATGTGATCATAAAGAAAATGAATTAATAGGAAGTAGTGTGATGTCTAAGCGATCACTATATTTACCCTATTCTCTACTACTATACGGATTACTATTCTCTATACTGATCATTATATAAATTACTATTTGGTGATTACTATTTGAACAAGTATTATTAGTGTGAGTATTGTTGAAGGTGTTACTCCCACTGGTATCTGCATTTACAAAGTCTCATCTACAACGAACATTTTGGAAGTGATAATGAGAATTCGTTGACATAATGAAAGTTACAATAAGTGAGCATCTAACATCACAAAAACTTTGTCATTAAAGAATCACTTAACATTTATGATTAAGAATGAATCTGTTGTACTAACACTAAACACATTTGATGAGTTATTGTTTCTAAGCCAAAAGATAATATCAAATATTGTTGTTAGTTTTCTGGAAACCAATTCTTATTCAACTGCTCTTTGGTTTCTACTTGATTTGCTCCTCAAAGAACATACACATGTTTCTCCAAGATACTTGAATTTCTTTCTTAAATTTATGCTCATTTCTCACCTGTGTTGAATTAAGGCAAAGACTGAAGAATAATCAGGATAAAATTCAAATCTTTTGATTGCTGTTTTTTTTTTTTTTGAGTAGCAGAGGCTCCTTAACATATGGGGATATGTATACAATAGAACAATTGGAAATCATAATGACACATTCTTTCTAAAATCTTTCATGTATACTTTATGCCTAGAAAACTAGGTAACAGCAGAAGTAGAACAAGATGAATATAGTTTGTAACTTGGGTTGTTTCTCTAACAAATCCTAATTCAATCTACCAATGGAAAGAGAAAAGGAAAACTTTGAATGAAAATCCTTCTTGTTATATCAGTAGCTTTATTTTATAACTGGAATATTCTTAGAAAATAGAGAAATGTCTAATGCTATATTACTTAATAAAAATCTCTTTCTCATTCACAAATACATTTTACTAGATATGATGACTGGATGTGAGTGCTAAGTTAGCAAAACCTAAAATAAATGTCGTTTTCTGTGCAGTCATGAAATTATTTTCCTTGGCTTTCTATGATGTCACTCTGTCTTTAAAGTAAATTGTATATTTCATCATAAATAAATGATTCTAAATAATTTGAAGTTTTGAAACTGTTTAGATTTCTGATGAGATAAGGAATGTTTGCATGTAATGAAAAAAGTGCTACTTTAGAGAAGATACTGTATGTTGATCATCTTATGATAAAGCAAATGTCACATTAAGACAAGTGTCTAAAGATAAGAATATATAGGCTTTAGTTTCACTGGGGTATTGTTGTTTATGATCTGTGCTGCTTGATAGCAATCATAGCAATGTTAGTCTAAGACTTAAATATAAGTATTATGTATTTTACATTAAATAATGAGCATTGTTATAACACATTATTTATTACTATGATTGTAAAGATATTACCAGTTTAACAATATTTTATGCTTCTCATGACATTCATACTTTGTGCGTTGCTTAATTTTCTCTTTTCTATAAACTCAATTTTTGTTCATTTATCTTTCAGGAATTCATATTTCCACTGAATCAATTTCATCCAACAGAATCATATCAAGAGCCAATATTTACAAATGTTGAGATAAATAATGGTAAGGCTTTTGTAGCAATCAGCATGCAGCATTTCATTTTATATATTACTAGCAGTAGAGCCCGGCGTTGCCGGGGATATAACAGTAAGAGATAGATCAAGTATCCACCATCATAAAGACTGAAAAATAAAATTGATAAAGATTATTGTTTAAGGTTGATGGACACGCATGTCTTAATTAGTTTTTTTTTTTTTTTTTTACGAATTGGTCAAACCCAAACTCAAACAAAAACATTATTTTCAATCGTTATGAGTCTCTACCAATTGAATAGAATTTTATTATAAACAATTGTCTTGTAAATGGAATTTTTAAAGCATTCTGAATGTAAAAATAAGGAAAAAAGTGTGCAAGACAATAAGAAACACTACATGCCAAAAAAAAAGTGAAGTTTTGTTGAAATCGGTTGAAAAATGTAGGTAGCCTTTCTGTAATCTTTTAGTTTTACAATTTATGATTTTTACTTATTGAATACAGTAAAAAAAAATTGCATATTTTGCTTGTGGTGATTCATAATTAGAATTCTGATTTGAATATATTTTCCACTCATTGTTTCTAATACAAAAAATATTAACTTTATTTGGGTTTATTAATTATGATCTAACAAATCTTATTCATTTAGTAGCCTTTCTGTAATAATAATCTTTTACAATTTATGATTTTTACTTATTGAATACAGTAAAAAAATTGGACACCATGTGTATTTAAAGTAGTTTCCCGTTACAGTTATTATTTTTAGTTAGGTAGGACTTGTGTATGTTTAGATTTCATTATCTTTCCCTAAAGATAAAGAATTTATCCAATGTTTGTATTCGTACAATCAGTAGAGATCGTTAGATTATTGTTTAAGGTTGACGGACACGCATGTCTTAATTAGTTTTTTTTTTTTTTTTACGAATTGGTCAAACCCAAACTCAAACAAAAACATTGTTTTCAATCGTTATGAGTCTCCCGATTGAATAGAATTTTATTATAAATAATTGTCTTGTAAATGGAATTTTTAAAGCATTCTGAATATTAAAAATAAAGAAAAAAGTGTGCAAGAGAATAAGAAACACTACCTGCCAAAAAAAAAAAAAAAGAAGTTTTGTTTTATCGGCTGAAAAATATAGGAAATCCGCCCCCATATTTAAAGGAACCCACACACAAAACAACCCGATGTGAGTTGTCCCCCTTCCATTTTCACGATGTCTCTTAATCGTGTTTTCAAATTGATTTCATGCAAAAACAACTATATTTTTCCCATTTTTGGTGCTGTTAGAACCACCACAAGGTAATTTTATGTAGTCCTGTAAAGTTTTGTTGAAATCGGTTGAAAAATGTAGGAAATCCGATCCAATATATAAACGTTACAGACACACACACACACAATCTGCGTTTTATAATAAGTAAGATTTAAAAGAAAAGTGTTCTGAAGTTGAAGTTAGCACTAATCAGCCGTTAAGCTCATACTTCTTTCTCGTTATTCCTATGAGTGTTCACTTATGCTTATGCAAATTATGCATACTATTTTGCTAGTATCACTACATCTCCCTGAACCTTAAGGGTTTTATTCCTCTTGTAGATCTTGTACTCCTTCTCCTGCTATTTTCATCACTCTGCTCTATTTCTCTCTCTCCTGTATTTCTTTCCCTGGGAGACCTAGACCTGTCCCTGGCTAGGTTGTAGTCATATGTGTTTTCTTGCATAATCTGGTCTTCGTCCGAACTTTCAGACTCCTTCTGGCCCTCTTCATCCTGCTTTGTTTCCTCTTCTGACGTTTCCTTCTATAATGGTTGTTCTACCAACTCGTTATCAGATGGAATTGAAAACATTTCTTCGTCGTTTTGTTCTTCCTCGTCACCCTGGGTCCTTATTTGGTCTGCATGGGCTAACACACTATCGCCATTTTCTCTGTTTATTATGGTTGTATTGTGGCCTTTTTGCATTATAAATTTGGCTCCTTCCAGATCTGCATCTTTGCTCTTTTTGTATCACATTTTTTAATTTGTAGTATATGACATCGTTAGCGGATCTCTAATCTGTCTTCCCATTAAAGCTGATGGGCTTTCTGGTCTTCCTGCAAGTGGTATCGTACGATAACTTAAAAGCAGTCTCGGTAGAAAAACTTCTACTTTTCTTTTGCTGAGAGCATGCTTTTAGCCCCATTTTTACAGTCTGTACCATTCTTTCTGCTAATCCGTTTGATTGAGGGTGACATGGAGGTGTCTTAAATGGTTTACACCCTATTTTTTCTAACCATACGTTAAGTTCTTCCTCACAAAATTCTGGTGCATTATCAGATACCAAGGTTTTTGGTACACCATTTCTGGAAAATATGACTCTTAGAATCTGCTTTATAGTAGAACTTTCTTGTTTGTAACCCGGATTATTTCAGGCCAAACTGAAAAGGAGTCTACTAATATTAATAAGAGTCCCACTCCATTAATGTATGCATGATCCATATGCACACGACTCCATGGCTCCACTTCTTTGGGCCACGAATGTAATTTGGTTTGTGTAAAGTTTCTTAATTCATTTTTTGCACCTTTTTGCATATTCCTCGACATCTCTTGAATATCCCGGCCACCAAGCTTCTAATTTTATCCTTTTTTGTGTGGCTGCTACTCTACAGTGTATATCATCATGTACACTTTCTATTATCGGTTTTCTTTGTGTTTCTGGAGGAACTACCAGGTCCCTATTGCAAATCACTCCATGTTCTATTGTTAATTTGTGTCTTATTTCTTTATAGGGTCTTTCCGCTCTAGAACAATTTCCCCACGAGTTTTTTGTTATTCTCGATACTATCCTACTTAGCACTGGATCATGTCTCGTTTCCGCAGCCATTCTGTCTAAATGAATCTTCAAATTCTTCCTCTGTTTTATCTTTTGACTCCTTGTAGAATCTCAATCTTGATAGTGCATCCACATGTGGAATTGAATTTCCTTTGACATACCCTATATCAAAGTCAAATGCCATCAATCTTATTGCCCATCATAGAATCCTTGATGTCGTGACTTTGGGTAATTCTTTCCTTGGGTTAAATATAAACTCTAATGGTCTATGATCACTTCTTAATAGAAATTTTTTCCCAATTAAAAATTGTCGGGCTTTGGTAGTTGTCCACACGATAGCCAATGCTTCTTTCTCTATGTTCGAGTAATTAAATTCAGTGTTTGTTAATCTTCTCGACAAATACATTATCGGATGTCCTTCTTGCGGTAATATTCACGATATTGAATGTTCACTTGCATCTGTAGTGAGTGTTATGTCCTTTTTGGATCAAAAATTTTTTACTACAGGTTTCTTTTGACATAATTTCTTTTTATCTTTTCAAAAGCTTTTTGCTGTTCATCCAACCACATAAATTCCACATTCTTTTTTCTTAAATTTGCAAACGGTTCCGTCAAGTCTGTATATTTTAGTAAGTATCGCCTGTAAAAATTTACCAATCCCCAAAAAGACTCCAATTCTTTTTTATTTGTAGGTGTAGCTACTTTTAGTATTTTTTCTATCAAGGCTTAGTCTGGTGATATACCTTCTTATGAAATGGAATAACCTAAAAAAGATATTTTGTTAGAATTGCTTACGCATTTTTTTTCATTTATCGTCATTCCAGCATTTCTTAATCTATTCAAGACTAAGTCAGTTTTCTCTTTTAATTCCTTTTCATTAGTAGCTCCTATGCATATGTCGTCGTGGTAACAAACCATATTTTGTACATTTCCTAAAACCTGTTCAATGGCCCTTTGAAATATGGCACTTGCTGTTTTTATTCCATATGGCATCCTTTTCCATCTTAGTAACCCTAGTTACTTCTTTGAAGTTTTCGTCTATTGGTATTTGGTGGTATGCCGTTTTTAAATCTATTTTTGAAAAAACGGACATCCCTGCCAGTGCATGTAATGCAAGTTCAACATTGGGTATGGGATATGAATCCGAGCATATCTTGTGATTTACTCCTATTTTGTAATCTCCACAAATACGTAAATCACCATCTGTTTTCCTCAACACTACAATCGGTGATGCCCACTTGCTACCTCCAGGTGGAACATGTTCAAGAAGGTTTTGTTCTACTAATTTACGTAGTTTTGTCACTAGTAATGGTAATAAATGTACTGGTAATTTTCGTGCCTCACAATAAGAGGGGGAAACATTTTCTTTTACTTTTAAACTTGCTTCATAGTTTTTTAACTTTCCAGTTTTTTCCATTTTTATTTCATTAATTAACTTCGTAGAATTTATATTAAGCACATCATTTCCAATAATCCTGTGTTTTTGTTTTTTGCAACTTGTAACAACTATAGGTATTACTTCAAATTTTTCTTTTAATTCTAATGAACCTTCAAAGTATCTTACTTTTTATAGCCGACCTATCAAATTGGCGAAGTTGTAAACTGCTTTTTCGTAAAGGTGGCTTACCAATGTGTTCCCAAAAATTTTTTGGTATCAGTGTTACTTCACTCCCAGTATCCATTTGCATATCTAAATTGCAGTTATTAATTTTGACCTTTACTATAATGTCTTTTTTCTCATGTTCAATTCTTTTTAAAGTCTTATTTTTTAATGTAAAAACTTCCCTATCGGTGTCATTTTCTTCAATTCTTTCAACATTTTTCTTTTTTAATTTACACACTGCTTGAAAGTGGTTCTTTTTAAGCAATTATTACAAGTTTTTCCAAATGCTGGACACTTTTCCTTTTTCATTTCGTGTTCACGTCCACAATACGAACAGTTTTTTTTATCTTCTTTAACATGTACGTATCAGCGAATATTTGTTCGCTGGGTTGACTTTTATAATGGTTGTATGTCTGTATTAGTTCTTGTTGCTGCATAAAGTCAATACATGTATTTAAAGACATATTTCCTATTTGTAATTGTTCCATTATTTTATAACGGTGTGACGCATTGGACATACCTTCAATTAGTCTTAATTGAATCATGTCCTCTTCTGTTCGTCTTGTCCAAGTTTTTCAAATTCACAATATCGATTTGCATTTCGTAGACGGTGTAAATATTT